GAGATCTGAAAGAAAGGACAAAAACGCAACGGCATTGCGACTCTATCATCAATTTTCATACTGAACAGGAAAATATCAATGAGTTGAGCCGGTGAACTTCAGATTGCCGCACACGGGCGCAATACCTATGGAGCTATCCATAGAGTCTTTCCTTTGGAGCAATAGACTGGAGGACTAGATATGAAGCTTTGTGATGCAGAGGAAACAATGTTGATGAGTTTGAAGGACTATCACACAGAAAGCATCTCTTTTGCAGGTAGGTAAGTTTCTGAAAACGAACCAATTGAACTGAGAATTTCGGGCCTGTGCTCTGCTCTTGTCAGGAGAAAACTCACATGAGCTTTGAAGACTAGCATAGTAATGGAAGCCAACACTAACGCACAAAGGGGAGCGGGCAACCCTGAAATTATGTAGTAATTTTTATATGAAAACGAAATTAGTTGAGGAACGCTACAGGGAGGGAAACAAACACATATTTGCCACCCACGGACTCAAATTTTGAATGTACTACTTAGGAAAGTATTAGTATACGGTTCAAATGGTATCAAGTAGGAAACATATATACCAGCTATTAATTAAATTAATATGAAGGAAATTTTGCCGTTACTTTTGGCCGGATGATTGAATACACCGATTGCGCCTGCTTAGTCACGTGACCTGTAGTGGGTATCAAACAACAAGTATGGCGTCCTTCCATAGCAAAGTGTGTTTTAAGTGTTGTTTATCAAAATAAGGCTGATTGTCAGTAAAGTACTCAGCACATCACTAGTCGGAGTACCTTACCGACTGTTGACTTTATTTTTGCCTATATTCTAAACGCTAAAAGTCTTACCCAAAAAGGTCTGGCAGATATATCCCCTACGCTCTAGGCAATTGATGTCGTCCCATTCGCCTAGGTGTTGTGGGTCAGTTCTGACTTCAACACAGTCACGGAATGGCTGTTAACATAGAAGGAAAGTGTTACTATAGAAAATTAAGAAATGCAGCAGTGAGCTGAAGTGCGATGTACTGACACATAATGAACTGTGGAGTAGCAAAAGGTACTTTAGCCATTTTATATTATGTGAAAATAATTTTTTGAAAATTGAGATAGTTTGGGTGAGAGCAAACCATTTCTTTGGGAGGAAGTCAAAATATTCAGCTATTATTTATAAATATTAAAAGTGAAATGCTCAGTCAAGATTAAAAGTGTGCAGAAGGATATTAAAGTGCCAAGGTAAAGGGCTTCGACTATCTCGACATCTAGGGTTTGGGAGGTAGATTGGCCACCCCAAAACCAATATACCAGGAAATTAACTGCCGAAAATCAACAAGACAGATACAAGAGGCAATTTCTTTCTAAAACCAACTGGACTAATTTCGGAAACACACGAGGTCAATTTTGTGTTTGTGTTGGGTTGATGACGTAACGGGGAGAAAGGCACAACAGGCACATTAAGGTATCTGTAACTAGCATTGTTGAGGCCCAAATGCATGAAAACAAAGAGTTTTGATGACGTGCAGAAAAAGCACAGTATTATACATTTCTATCTTAGATGCATAACTTTAAGGACCTGAATCTTGGGCTGAATCGCGGGCTACCTTGTATGTGTGTATACGTGAAGCTTCTAGTCTACATTTTCAATTGGTCAAAGAAAAAGAGCTAAACACGTACTGGATTCTTCTCGTGAAAGTGAGTTAATTCAATTATTATGACAATAACTATAATTTACTCCGCGATGAATGAGGATAACGGTACAGAACTTGTCCGTGTTGCGGGGCTGTGGGGACCCAAACCTAAACCTGGCGACGCGGTGGTCCAACACAGCACCGTGCATCGGCAGTAGTAAGGCAACACAAGCAAAACAGCCAGCGATGCTTATGCGTCGATCGCTTTTCTAAATTCTTTACTTATCTGCGCCAATCAGGAAGGTTTAAAATCTACCCTTATTGTGTTGTCCGGAGACGATCGATTCAACGCATTATTGCTCGTATGGAAACATCGACGACACCAAGTCTCAGTGTACGAGATTCCTGTCCAAAACTACACACAGCACAAGACCGGGGTATGTTTTATTTTATGACAAAAACACATCAGTCATGGACTTCAGCTTGATGGAAGGAACAATCAATGTATTGGACAAGAACTGCGTAAGAACATTGCATTTTGAGCATGCCTCTACAACGAGACTCGCGTGTGAACTTGCGCACTGTTTACAGCCTTATCTCCCCATGTCGTTTTGGGGTCACCGGCATATCATTAATACATAATGACTGTTGCGAAAAAGGGACTAGCGGAAGCTCATTTGTGGACAGTATTTTCTATCATAAATGGAAAAACTGTTCGACTTTTTAATGTTTAGTTTGGAAGATCTACTTGTCACTCGTTGTATATTATAATTGGGGAAAGGTGGGTTCTTTTCAATACCTCCCAAAGAATTGAAGCTCACTCTAAGGTTCGAGAGGGACGAACATTGCACTAAATCCTCAACTTCAGTCCGCAATGCAACTAGACAGGTGATAGGTTTGCAAGTGAGCTCCTCTGACCGCGTTCTTGGTGTCTGCACATGGCTTACCTCATTGGGTATATCAGTGAAGCCGTCTGGCTGGAAGGGAGCCCACTGACTGAAAGTCATTGGCGTACCATCGGTCCAGACAAATTGGCCTTCTTCGTTGGCATCTGACAAGCCAATCCAAAGGTTTGTCTTGTTGACAAACTCTTGGAGAAGCAGGGACAATAAAGCTGTGGGGAAACAAATATTATAAAGTTTGTCAGTACTTGCCTGTGTGCTAATCATCACTTATGATGACGCTCCGTCGTAGTACAATCTAACACTGAAACTGTAAATTATCAAAGCTCACATCTGCTGCTTTATTGTGGTATTGGCTAAATAAGTACTTTTGAAATGAATCAGTGTTCAACATTTTGAATTAGGAAAGACTTTATTCCAGTCACCCTTGACAGTCTCAGTTGCCAAGGACAGCACCCAACGATCGCAGGTCTCTCCTATGTTAAGAAAGGGGAAACTGTGCACCTTGGGAAATCTGAATAATAGTGACAAAAGTATTCAGGTAGGTTTGGGCCATCATTTCAGGCATTTTTTCATGTAATTTCTGTAGGAAAAAAGCTTGTTCGGTTTAACCATTTGCGTGCGGCTTCGTCGCTGTTTTGAAATTAGAGGTTCTGTCCTTCCTTCTGTGCCATGCTAAAGCGTACTGTCTGGCTTCTGTTGGGGCTTGCAAGAAAAATGTTATCACATGTTAAGCCGGGCTTTGAGTGAAAATCCAACTTGTGGTATACTCATATTGCACTTATGCAAGTCTTGTTTGGGTTTTTTTTTTCTTATACGTTTCTGAAGAGTTACCAGAAAACAGAAAAGGAACTGTCAACACAAAGACCATTTTAACTTCATAACATTTGATAGCCGTGAATACTGATAGCCAGCAATCATACTTCCTAAAGCTTACATTGCTCTAACTGACTGGTTACTTGGAACAGTCTTCCTCTGCCTCCACCTTCTTCTCTGCAATATTCGTCAGAATCACTGAAGTCCCTCCTGTCTGCGTCCAAAAGGCCAACTGATCGATAACACCTGATGCCAAGCTGATACCAGCCTGGTAAACAGCCACCTTTTGACGGCGGGGTGTACACTGTGATACAGGAAACCAAGTGATCAGATTGTTAGGACTGTAAAATGAAGACGATTTCGCATTGTCTCATTCAAGGCATCCCGTGCAATTTATCAATATTCCGCTTTCCCGAAGTTTGGGGAAGGACCTGAACGGCGATTCGAACCTTTTGTGGCTTAAATAATCGTGAGCCTCGTAAATGAGCATAACTTTTCACAACTGTGCGACAATGTTGTGAGTCTGAATAATTCACTTGAAACACTCCGTTAAATCTTATTGCCTAAACCATATGGTGAAATAAAAGAAGTCAATAAATAACTTGAAATATTCTGACTTCAACATTTACTGTGAATTCGTCCTGATGCTTGCCGAAACCTTATAACAAAACTACAAGAAGTACGACCTAGCCATGCGTTTCTGAAATCGCACTGCGTAGACGAAGAACGGTTCAATTTCATGAGTTATTTGGCACTTTGAATGAATGACAATATCTGGTTTGAAGCTACTGCATTGCAAGACATGCATGTACTGACCTTTAGGTGCCCTGCAGATAAATCCCCTGTTTTCATTGCAGTCAGCCGTCTTCCATTCCACATTGATTTGTCCACTTCCTGGACTTATGACCATTACACCACACCCGTCACCAGGAGTGTTGCTTCCAAAGTTGACATAGTCAAGCAAGGAGCCATCTACCCATTGATACTGATCACCTATTGGAAACACCAGAGAGAAAGTTACACAGTTTTCGTCAAGATGACCCAACATTGCTGTTATTTTGTCTAAATCACATTATCATCTAAAATACCG